AAGATGCTGGGCTAGATGGGCCATTGGTCTTACCCAGTATGGCCATTCTCATGTTCTGCTATAGTTATAGATAACAGTCCATTTGTTTAAAAAAAAGTAAATTGTTGGAAACTTGTTTCAATACATAGATCATGGAAATTTTGTACATTTTGATTTGCTGATGCACAAACCAGTTTAGAGTAAGTTCTAAGCCGGTATTTTAATTTTGGAATTTGTTCATCCCTTTGTTGTTGGATTACAGCAAGGATTAGTTGTCATCGGTCGACAAAATAGAGAATATTTTCCATTTACCAGAAAACAAATTTAATGTAAATGTAAATAAAACTATTGTAGTTTGTTTTAGTGCCCACCCCCAACTTCATTTGCTATCCACATCTTTTATTTTCTTGTTGTTTGTTATTTTAACTAAAACATTTTTTGGCTGTGTAACTGCCTTTTTAAACATGGTTTAAGTATTAATTATTGGTAATCATCAGATTACAAATAATTATATAATTTTACATGTCTACTTTTTAAGTATAAATAATTCATTTTTCTTCTTCAGAAGGGGCGTCACACTCATTTGAAACATAGAGGTAGTTTCTCTTTTTAATTAAGCTCAGTAGGCATGGTATAAACTTAAAATTGCATATTTGTGACAGCCAAATGTTTTTAAGAAGCCTACATGTTTCATTGTTGTCTGGCTTTAGGTCCCATAACAGTAGAGGCCTGCAAATCTATAAGTATCTGCTTTATATTAGTGAGTATTCACATCCACAGATGTCAGTGCACATAAATTAATGGAGATTACCTGTCTCCTAGAACTGGAAGGGACCTTGAAAGGTCATTAAGTCCAGTCCCCTGCCTTCACAGCAGGACCAAGTACCATTCCTGACAAATTTTTGCCCCAAATCCCTAAATGATGTCCTCCATAAGGATTGAACTGACAACCCTGGGTTTAGCAGGCCAATGCTCAAACTAGTGAGCTATCCCTCCCCTTTTGTGGCTCTTTTTTTGAATACAGATGCAGGTATGGATACAGATTTTATATCTACCCAGAGCTCTACATATCAGTGGAGCTTTTGAGAATACAGGCAGTCCCCAGGTTACATGGATCCAACTTATTTCGGATCCCTACTTACAAACGGGGTGAGGCAACCCTGCACTAGCTGCTTCCCCCCAGCAGACCAGGGAGACACAAAGCTAGCGCCCCCCCCTCCCCCAGCAGACCAGGGAGACGCGGAGCGGCTTTTCTCAGCAGACACCTCAGCTTGAGAATAAAGGACTGAGGGAAGTGAGGTGTGGGAGAATAAAACTGAGCTCTGGAGAAATGTTTGGCTAGAGTTTCCCCTACAATATGTACCAGTTCCGACTTACATACAAATTCAACTTAAGAACAAACCTACAGTCCCTATCTTGTACGTAACCCGGGGACTGCCTGTACAGTGGCAGATCCAGTTGCCTGGACATGGACACCTAATAACCAGTGACCCAGCGAGATCTAGATTCCCTGACTCTTAGCGGGGAGACAGAGCATGGGCAGTGGATCAGAGTAAGGCTTCTGCCCAGGGCCTGTCCCCGTGGGAGCCAAGCCCCCGACCCACCCAGCACCACAGGGAGGTGGGGAGTCATGTGGCCCTAGCCTGCCTGGCCCCAGAGCATGGGGAGAGAGGGCGGCAAGTGGCATGTGACCCCAGTCTCCCCACCCCTAGAGCACAGAAAGGGCAGGCAGCACATGGCCAAGCCACCCTTGCCCCAGAGCACGAGGACGGCAGGTGGCATGTGGTCCTGAAGTATGAGAGCGGGCAGTGCATAGCACCAGCCTTCCCAGCCCTGGAGCATGGGGAGGGTGGCACTCAGGGGCAGCAGCATTCTGACCCCAGTATGCCTATATTAGGCATTCTGTGTGTAGAGTGAGGGTACGTCTAGACTACATGCCTCTGTCGCCAGAGGCATGTAGATTAGGCTCCCAGACATAGGAAAATGAAGCGGCGATTTAAATAATTGCTGCTTCATTTAAATTTACAGGGCTGCCACGCTGAGCCGACAAACAGCTGATCAGCTGTTTGTCGGCTCAGCGCGATAGTCTGGACGCGCGGGTGTCGACATCAAAGGTATTTGTTGACCACCCAGGTATGCCTCCTGGGATGAGGTATACCTGGGTGGTCGACAAATACCTTTGATGTCGCCACCCACGCGTCAAGACTATCGCGCTGAGCTGACAAACAGCTGATCAGCTGTTTGTCGGCTCAGCGTGGCAGCCCTGTAAATTTAAATGAAGCAGCGATTATTTAAATCGCAGCTTCATTTTCCTATGTCTGGGAGCCTAATCTACATGCCTCTGGCGACAGAGGCATGTAGTCTAGACGTACCCTATGAGAGGGGCCAGGCTGGCAGTTTGGGAAGACAAAGCTTTCCCCTGCCTAGTTTACACATCACCCCTGAGGCAGAGCCACATTTCCCCATCTTAGAGATGAAGCAGTGGAGAGGTGTAAGATGGGAGGTAAGTGTTGTTTGCTAACTGAGAAGTCTGATTGAGGACATCAGAGTGCTGAGCAAAGGGGGAGAACTTTGCATGTGACCTTCATTTTTTCTGTATTAAGGTTCTAGTCAACTAATACACCCTACTGTTTGACATAACTGACTGTCACTGCATATGCTTGTGGAGGTAGAGTGCTCAGTGAGATTGGATAAGTCTCCCTCAGTGGTCTGTCTCAGTGTTCTAGCAGAGCAGAGCTTACAGTGTAAAGGTAGCTTCAGGGGGTAACTGAGTTAGTCTGTTACAGAAAAAAAACAACAAATAGTCTGGTAGCACTTTATAGACTAACACAACTTGTAGCTGGCATCATGAGCTTTCGTGGGCACAGCCCACTTCTTCAGATGACCGGAGTGGGCTGTGCCCACAAAAACTCATGATACCATCTACATGTTTTGTTAGTCTATAAAGTGCTACCAAACCAGTGTAAAGGTAGAGTGCTAAAGGCCTAGAGATCCAGTATAAGGAGGGGGTGAAACCATATGATTTACCTTAGAGAAGGGAGTGGAGTCTGGCACACTAAAAGGGTCTTTCCAGAGAATGTTCCAAAGCTGAGATCCTAACACAGTTATTGTGGTGTGTGACAATATTATCCTGACTTGACAGCTGGACTAGCACTCATATGAATGAGAGGTTTGCAGAATATTTAGCTGTTTGTTCAATATTTTATTGTTGCATCAAGTGAGAAAATGTTTTACTTTTTAGATTACCAGAAAGGTTGCCCTTTGCTTCTCTTTCTTTCCCCCTTTTAGTATATTGTATAGTGTAAATATTTAAAAATTTTTGGTCTAGCCAACAAATGCTACATCTTGTGTCACTGATATAAATTAATTTGAGGCTATGAGTTGTGTGCTCTGAGGAATTGTACCTCTCTTCTCTGAACCTAAGGTTGAGAAACAGGACTGTTACTCTTGCCCTGGGTGAGCAAGATTATGTTGGCACTGATGAGTTACTGTTGGGCTTCAGCGTTTCCATCCTAGTGAAATTAATGAGAAATAGGAAATTTCCCACTACTGAAGCTAACTTTAGGGATGTAAAATCCCTGTTAATTGGTTAACTGGTTAACCAATTAAAGTGGGGCGATGGGAGACTTCTCTAGCCCCACTGGACTTCTGGAGTGCGCCCTCCCCTACGCCACAGCTGGGCTGCAGCACCATCCACTCTACCCCCCACCACAGACAAGGGCTACCAGCTGGCTGGTTGGAGCAGTCCCTGCCTGCAGTGAAGGGACCAAACCGGACCTGCTATGGTGAGTGGCTCCTCCAGTCGGCTGGTCAGAGTAGCCCCTACTTGCTGTGGGTAGGGTTGCCAGGTATCCGGTTTTGAACCTGACAGTCCAGTATTTGAGCTTTCTGTTCGGGAAACAAATTGAGAAAATATAAATGTCCAGTATTTTCTAAATAAGATGTAATATAGATTGTGATGTAATGTCAAGTGTGTCTGGTATTTTTGTTGAAACCATCTGGCAACCCTAGCAGTGGGCCCCGTGGGGTTGGAGCAGCTCCCTGCCCATAGCGGGCAGGGAGCTACTCTAGCCCCTACCAGTTAAGAACCGGTAAGCCTCACCCATGAAGAGCGAGGCTTACCAGTTAACCATTCACATCCCTAGATATCTTCACTGCAAAAAGTGTGTGTGTTTATTTTTTTAACAATGGGGGGGGGGGGGGGTGCATTAGCTGTGCCATTGTAAAATACTAGGTAGGGTAGGTCAATGCTGTGTCTCTGCCTATGATTAACCTTGTCTGATTTACCTCACAGTAAAACTACAGTGCTTTATCTCCATTAGGATTTTAGAGTGGACTAGTTAGTGCATGGTATCCTGTGGTAAAAACACTTTTCTGGGCAGTGAAAACAAAGTGTGCCATTGTTTCAGGCTATTTGCAGAGTTTAGGAAGACAACAGCATCAGTTACCCTTAATTAACATTTGGAAGTTCTCTCTCCAATGATGAATGCTAGATACTGACTTTTTAAAAAGGAATGGTGTTTATGTTCTGCATATAAACATCTTTCAGGCTGCATAAGCACATCAGGTGGGGATTGTTTTATAGTCTGTCTAAATGTGGTAGGAGAGATACGGAGCACAGTTTGTTGTTGAAAATTTATATCAGTAATTGATGATTGAGTGACCCAAAGCCTGCCATTGAGTTCAGTAGGCTCCGGATCAGGCCCTTCATCTTCCTTACTGATCCATGACAATCACTGTTGCAATGGTTCTCTAGAGAGTTGGTGGAAGCTTTCCTGATAGATCAGAGAATGAAGCATTCTGAGAAAGAAATAGTGGATTTCAAATGGGTACTGCAAGAGCAGATAGTGCATGAAATAGGATATTTCTCTTATGAAGTGGTTCTCAAAATGAAATATTAGAGAATTACTGCGTTAGTTGTTAAATGAATTGGTTCTTTTTTAAAATGTTATTTTAAATTGAACATTGTTTCTCTGTGTGCTTGAGTTTAATAACATGGTTTCCTGTTGTTTATTTGACAGGCATACAGGAGTTTCCAGAAAACATAAAAAACTGTAAAGTTTTGGCAATTGTTGAGGCCAGTGTAAATCCAATTTCAAAGTAAGTTGCATTTTGGTGAAAAAAAGCCTAATTCTTCTTTCTATTTAGTGTATTGTATGCTTGTATAGTTATATATGGAGTTAGTAATGCCACCTATAGTTGCCAAGCAGTTCCTATTATAAGATGCTCTTCTTCAGTTGCTTACAACTTTGCCATATTTTAACTGTCTAGGCTGAAATGTTCTGTGCTGGGCATTTGCTTCAGATTGAGTTTAATATAGTATTCCCAGTCCTCTAGGATTGACCTAGAGTCTACAGGAATTAAAGATTAATCTTTAATGTCATGTGATGAAACCTCCCAGGAATACATCCAACCAAAGTTGGTAATCCTAGTTTGATTAAAGCTTCAGCAAAAACAATTTAACCATTTCCAAGAACAAAGTTAGAGGAAAAATATATATTTGCTCCTGGTTTTAAAAAAACCCAACCAAATAAACAAAAAAATTGAATTCTTATGACTGTTTCATTGAGATGCTTGAGTGTCCCTGTGCTTTAGAGCAGCAACTTGAAATTTAGCATGGAGATACTATGTCCCTGTGTTTGTATGAAAATTTGTGCAAGTTATAAAACTTTGACAAATTGCATTTGCCACAACAAATAATATAATAATTATTGTATTGCAGTAACTTGCTAACATTTGGCAGGTAAAGTCTCCAGAGAGTCCATCCGCATTGAGAGACTTAAGCCCAGTTCTGTAGGCACTGAGCAGGATTTTACCTGCAATTACTGTTCCTGGTGTCTGTAGCACTGGCAGTGAAACTAAGAACAAGGAGATTTGTCTCTGGTGTCCATTCAGCACAGAGGAGGAAGCAGCCTGACTGAAATGCAGATGGGACAAGCACTGAGCAAGAGTGGGAAGATAAGTTAAATTTGGACAGCAAGCTGAGGCAAGGTAATTGGTCCGAGAAAATGAGATTGAAGGCATTATTGAGGGAGAGACAGGACTGGCACAGGGACAGGCAGGAGCAAGCAATGGCAAAAGTTACAAGATTCACAAGGGAAAGCAACAGAAGAGAGTGTCCACAAGAAAATATCCCCTCCAGAATCTGGAATTGAACTCAGGATCCCTGGGGCTCTTAGAACTGTGTCTGTTTTCATTTGTGAGCCCCTAAAAATTCCCAATGATGGTTCAGACCCTTTGGAAATCTTAGACATAGTCTGTGGACTCCCAGGGATCCTTAGACCACAAGCCACTGAAAATCACTGATCTAGACTCTAGCCTATTTCACAGAACACAAATGATGGACCATTTGCCCAGTATCTGGAAATAGTGGTAGCACAGGTGGTATCTCTGGTGAAAATGACCATCACTCCACTTCCACTCCTAAAAAAACCCAAAGTCTCAAGGAATTTTACTAATTTTTCACTAGCCTTGGTATCTTCACTGAGTGCATCTTACACAGTTGGATGCAATGTGAAAACAAGTCTTTTAGATAGGTAAACCGTAACCTGTTCATTCCATTGAAAAACAAAGGCTTTGAAACTGATCCTGATATGAAAAGATAGCCAGTGCAGGCTGAGACTGTCTTGTAAAAATGATGATACACCTTATTTTTAACAGGTATGTAAAGAAACTATATTGTATTGTAAGAGACTACAACATAAGTGATTTATGCTTCATTGAAACAAAAACACTGCCTTTTTTTAAATGTAGGCTTCCAGATGGATTTTCCCAACTGTTAAACCTAACCCAGCTGTACCTGAATGATGCTTTCCTTGAGTTTTTGCCAGCCAATTTTGGCAGGTAAGTTTAGTTTGCGTCTGAAAACCTGCAATACTAAGTTTTGCTTCTTAACTACTCAAAAAAGCTTTTGCTGGCTCTTACAGAATAGGAGGTAAATCTCGAACAAGTTTTTCTGTGCCATGTAACTTCAAGCAAGTAAAACAATAAAACACCAACATTCTCTTTAATAGATCTTCCTAAGTGTTCTATTTCTACTCTTGAGAAACTTTACCAAACATTACTTAGTGGGAAATAACAATTAGATGCTTCTCTCACTTTTATAAGAGAAGTCTGCTTGTTTTTAATTGTGAAAAACTAATCTTACCGAAATTCAGCTTGTTCACCATTTAGATGTTGGAATAGAGCAAAACAGAGACTTCATCTTCAGCAGTCTACTTATCACTATTCCATTCATTTTTATAGACATATGTTTTTATACATCAGTACACTTGTGTAATTCAGTGATTCCTGTACATTTAGTGCTTAAAAACATATTCACTATCCGTTATCGCAGAACCCTGAGTTATAGGTTCTGCCCAAGATGGAACTGGATTACCATTGAGCCCTCTGATTCACCAGTCTGTGCTTCCTCCGTGGTGCTCCTGTGATAAGTTGCCAAGCTTGCATTTACCCGAACATTCACACAATCAGGGATACACTCAGCTGAACTTATGTGCAGGCTTTCTGACAGATAGCTGCATGAACCAACAATAGAGAGGCTACTGCCAAAATAACTTCCAGCTTTCCAGCTCTCTGCCCACCCCAAGTAGAAATCCAAAATTATACCATCTTGCGCTATATAGGGAACTGTACAGTGTAAACTCAAAGAGTTTGCCTCTCTCTCAATATAAGAGAAAATGCAACAGACTCTTGAACTAAGTTTCCCAAACACTGAACTGTAAACTTTCTGGTTTAGATTAAAACATAAAATATATTTATGAATTACAAAAAACAGATTGTAAGTGATAGCAAACAGATCAAAGAAGATGACATAGTAAATGAACAAACATGCAAACTAAGTTTAATATTCTTGAAAGATATGATTTGAGTTACCAGTCTCTTACCCTGAGTGATGTTACAAGCAGGCTGCAGGTTCTTAATTCACAAGCTACACTTGCTTTGCAGCTTGAAATCCCCAGGTTTTTCTTACATGGGTTAGAAATGCCTCTAGCCTGGATCTAACACTTTCCCCCATTTAGTCTTTTCCTCAGGTGTTTCCAGGAGTTTTCTTTCATGCAGAATAAAGAATAAGAGATGATGATGTCACTCTCTGTCTTAAATAGGTTAGCGTATTGTGAGAACCCTTTGTCCCAAACTCAGTTTAAGGAAAAACACTGGTATCCAAGACGGAATCCAGAGTAATTTGGCCTGGTTACATATCCTTGCATACCTTGCTGAGTCATAGCAGCCATTGATTATAAGCTAGCCAAAACATTCACAGGAAGGGTAAGTTCTTTCAGGATCCATTGTATTTGCTACTGGGCCACCAGCACAGTCAAGGTTCTTCATTGTTGTACCAGAAAGATTATTTGTGGGTGTCATTCAGAGTAGTCATGTTCTGAGATACAGATACATTGTCTTCTTAACTTTAAATACAAAAATGATATATACATACAAATAGGATAATCATATTCAGCAAATCATAGCTTTTCAAATGACACCTCACATGTCCTCTCTGGTACAGAATGCATCATAAATATGCCATAATCATATACTGAAGAATATGGGATGCAATGTCATATCCTGTAGTAAGCAAATTTGCTCTAATTAGATTAACATGAGGAAAACACTTATACCCTGCCCAACTCTAGGTTAATTCTTCAGTGCAAAAAACGATATGATGGTATAAGTAAGAAGATAATCATTTTTGGGTCAGTACTGTCTGTCCTTTCCTCTTTGCTCTTTTGGTTTGGACACATCTGCTTTGTAGCAGTCTTCTTCCCTGTTGTTTCTGGCTCTTTCTTTCAACCCTTTTCCCCTCCTGTGTCCCACCCAAACTTTTCTTTCAGGAGCAACACTAATTTACACCTGCTGAGGATCTGACCCTTGGAGTCCAAGTGATTGTGATCCTATAATTCTAGTCAATTCAGTAGAGAGCAGAAGCATAGCACTACTCTTCTAGAGGTGCTGTGGTAGTTGGGCAACTGATAGACACTCAGTAAAATGCAAGAACAAAAGTAGTATGTTATTGATGCATTTACCGTGACTTTTGCTTTTAGGCTTATGTTGACCTAGATCTCTCTTAGGTTTATATTCATTTCCTGAACTTACTATTTTAAAAAAAATCACTGTACATTTAACATTTTGAGTACAAATAGGTTGAAGGGAATTGAGTTTTCTTCACTCTTAGAACTGAGTCATTAGGCATGTCTATTCTTTGAACTGGAGGTGGAAATTCCATCTCGAGGACATGCTTGCTTGTTCTTATTGAGCTAGAATGCTAAAAACAGAGTTTAGCTACAGCAGGAAGAGGGCCTACCTACCCCAAGAATGATAAGAACATAAGAACAGCCGTACTGGGTCAGACCAAAGGTCCATCTAGCCCAGTATCCTGTCTGCCGACAGTGGCTAGCACCAGGTGCCCCAGAGAGGGTGGACCAAAGATAATGATCAAGCGATTTGTCTCCTGCCATCCCTCTCCAGCCTCTGACAAACAGAGGCCAAGGACACCATTTTATCCCCTGGCTAATAGCCTTTTATGGACCTAACCTCCATGAAATTATCTAGCTTCTCTTTAAACTCTATTATAGTCCTAGCCTTCACAGCCTCCTCTGGCAAGGAGTTCTATAGGTTTACATGCTGTGTGAAGAAGAACTCTCTGTTATTAGTTTTAAACCTGCTCCCCATTAATTTCATTTGGTGTTCTCTAGTTCTTCTATTTAGGGAACTAATAAATAACTTTTCTTTATCGGCCCTCTCCACGCCACTCATAATTTTATATACCTCTATCATATCCCCCCTCAGGCTCCTCTTTTCTAAACTGAAAAGTCCCAGTTGCTTTAACCTCTCCTCATATGGGACCTGTTCCCAATCCCTAATCATTTTAGTTGCCCTTTTCTGAACCCTTTCCAAGGCCAAAATATCTTTTTTGAGGTGAGGAGACCACACCTGTACACAGTATTCAAAATGTGGGCGTACCATAGTTTTATACAGAGGCAGTAAGATATTCTGTGTCTTATTTTCTATCCCTTTCTTAATAATTCCTAGCATCCTATTTGCCTTTTTGATCGCCACTGCACACTGTGTGGAAGTTTTCAGAGAACTGTCCACGATAACTCCAAGATCTCTTTCCTGATTTGTCGTACCCAAATTAGCCCCCATCATACTGTACATATAGTTGGGGTTATTTTTCCCAATGTGCATTACTTTACACTTATCCACATGAAATTTCATTTGCCATTTTGTTGCCCAATCACTCAGTTTGGTGAGATCTTCTTGGAGTCCCTCACAGTCTGCTTCTGTCTTGACTATCCTAAACAGTTTGGTATCATCTGCAAACTTTACCACCTCACTGCTTACCCCTTTCTCCAGATCATTTATGAATAAGTTGAAAAGGATTGGTCCCAGGACTGACTCTTGGGGGACACCCCTCTCCAATCTGAAAATTTACCATTTATTCCTACCCTTTGTTTCCTGTCTTTTAACCAGTTCTCAGTCCAAGAAACGACCTTCCCTGTTATCCCATGGCCATGTAATTTATACAAGAGGCTTTGGTGAGGGACCTTGTCAAGGGCTTTCTCAAAATCTAAGTATACTATGTCTACTGGATCCCCCTTGTCCGCATGTTTGTTAACTCTTTCAAAGAATGATCACATGTGAACTATTGGGTAGGTCCCTGAGGTGGCTAGCCCCCTCACACTACCTTGGCTATCCTTTTTCACTGTGCTAGGGCAGGTACCTCTCCTCAAGCTGGAATTTATAGCTATATCTTGAAGTGTAGACATAATGTCATGGTGTTCTGGGTATAAATCAGACCTTTTCTCACCCGGGTTGGTGGGTGTCTGCTTGTTTGCTGTCCCCTATGGTCATTCTGGGGTATAGTGGTCCCTAGTGTCATAGCCTTCCCTTTCCTTTTTGGAACAACCAAACCCTGACCGTGGTTTAAGTTGTGATGAGGGGAAGCTGTATACCCAATTTGGTGGTCCTAGCTCTTACCCTTCAGGAGGAGTTCTTGAACAAACAGACTGATGAATAGATAGATGCATAAACTCTCTCAAATATATAGTAGCTATACAGAGGATTAAAAGAGGCAAGTAAAAGAAATAAAAATTGATGTTGTTACAAGCAAATACTAGTGAAAATACATTTCTACTAGTGTAAAACTTATGCTTGTAAAGTACAGGATTTGTTCAAGATGGTTTCTCTCACCAATCTAACGAGCACCTCTGCCTAAGAATTTTATGCATCCTGTGAAATTGATTTATCTTGTCTCCTTTGCCTCACCTCAACATTTTTGATTTGCACCCACCTGTTATATCTGTCACCTAGCAAAATGAGATCCAATGTGGTTGAGGCTTATACATGGCACTACAATATAAATATGTTATAATATTTTTTGAAATTTAAAATTAATGGAAATTGGGATGCAAATCTCTTAATAGCTTTGAAAATCTCAGACTTGTTTTCTAAAATATACATGTACTGACTTAAAACAACTTAATTTCTAGGCTAATAGAGCTGATCAGGAATTATTAACAGATCTTACAGCGTGAATTGTTATAGTTAGCCCTCCCCCCTAATACACACACACATTTTAAACTGCAAAGTTTACAGTAGAATTTCCTGGGATAAGGTGGCTAAGAGAGCGTCTTTTTTGGAACTTATCATTTATTCTTACATTTGTCTCTTATTGTGCTCTGTAGAAGAGCTCACAGAGGCTCAAAAGCATGTCTCTAACAGAAGTGATCACAGCCACTTTTCTCTAATATCCTGGAACTAACATTGCTATAGCTACACTCCATACAGAAAGATTTCCTATTTAGTAATGTGATGAACATAAGAACGGCCATACTGGGTCACAC